TGCCGCCGCCCGCCAAGGCCGACAAGGCCGGTGAGGACGCCCGCGCCGCCACGGGGCCCCTCCGAACACGCTCCCTTGCTGCCCATCCACGAGAGCGTCTTGGTTTTCAGAGACAGCTCTAAGGCCACGGGGGTTATTCTATAAATTCCACTCCTGTTTGAGACTGTGCTCCATATAGAGAGTATCGATAGAGAGGAAGCGAGTGTCTCTCCTCGTGGTGCCGCGGTTCCATCAGCGCAGGGGTGTGAAGGGATGGGGCCACCGCTGCGCTCCGGCCCGGCGTTTGCCATGGGGGTTTGGGGCTTTAGGAGCTGGTGCGGAGCCATTCCTAGGAATGTGGCACCTGGAGAAGGGGAGAGGCCAATAGCGCTGCGTCCTGCAGGACGGGCCCTTGTTTAGAACAGATCAGGGGTATCAGGAATTTGTGCTTGGCTGCTTTCCTTGCAGAAACTGGAATCTAACTCAGCTGGTGTTGTCTGTTACGCATGCAGGGCTGCACCTCTAATGCCAAAGAAAAAACATGCAACATTTGAGAAGGAGCTTATTTATTTCAATATTAAGACTAAAAAGCATTTAAGATTTGTTTAAACCATTTTAGGGTTGAGTCATCTGAGATTTCTGCAATGAAGTTTTTTTTTAAGCCATGCTGCAGGCCATTGCTATAGCAAATCCTATGGAAAATTAATCCTTTCAGTTCCCTGGCTCTGTGTTTATGGATGCAGCTCTAGAGATCCTGTGCTCCCAGAGCCTGGGTCCTAAAAAGACCTACAGAATGAACAGGGAAAACACAGGAAGTTTTATATGCATTCAAGTCTGACAGCATCCTGTTCACTCTGATCCCTACTGACTGCTAAGAGCATGTTTTAACCTGCTGTACTTGGGAGGTAACTGAGGATACTTTTGTTTGCGAAGAGGCTGTCTCCCAAATGCCTTGCACCGTGTAATGGTGTTCAGTGCCCATGGGCAAGTCCTGGGAGGCGCCTGCTGCATAGGAGCCTGACATCCTCTGATCGCTTGCTTATGCGTTAAAACTAAAATGAGAGAGGAATAAAAAGACTCAATAGGTTAGATTAAAATATCCCAAACAACTTGACTAATTTGTTTTTTCCTATCAGAATTGCTTGCAAAAACCTGGCTAATTAAAAACAACAAGTGAACCTTAGTATTGCTAAAAACAGCCGTGCATGTGAGAGGACAGTTGTCTGTACACACACACAATAATGAATTCCAAATGAGTTACTGAAATCATAGCATTCTCGCTCATGCTTCTTGAAAAAAGACTGATTTATTGCCCAAATGCCATGTGAACCCAGGGCAGAATCTGAATATGGAAACAACATATTTCAAACTTCTAATTTTGATTAAAATTTATAAACTCCAAAGTCTTGTTTTTTTCAATAACATTTCCATCTTTGGATTTTTTGTCTTCTCAAATTAAATAACTTGTCATAAAGCATTTAGACTAGGAGTTCAGAGCCCTTTTGAGGATTTTGAGATAGTCTTTCACTTAACTGTGCTGGAGCTTCTGCTTTGGAGTTTGGTACAGTCCTCCTTTATGGCTTCCTTTTTTTGTTTGTTTGTTTTTCCCCAGGTTGTTTGGCTTAGCACAGAACACTTTCGCTTCGTCTGGTTTACTCATTTACTACGCATTGTGACTTATAGCGTCCTTATAAATACTGATAACTTGCAGAGCTTAAGGAAATGAGGTGCTCCATAGGCAACTTTGCATTAATACCGTGCTCATGCACTAGCTCCTGCAGCTGTTGCCCTTCGTTCATGTGCATAGTGCAGCCTGTTTTTGGGTTAAGCACATTGGAGTAAAGGTAGTTTTCCCGTATAATGTAGAGTTTGGGCTCTTCCTGTTCCTTACTGAGATAGTTCTTCTCATTAACACGTGTTTTACTTTATTTTGTAACCAATGCAGGACCGTTGGCTGCAGGACAGTTTCAGCGATCGTACCGAGACACTTTGTCTCCCTACTCCTACGTGTCAGCCGCATCCCAGAGCCACAGCACTTTGCCCCCCAAAGGTTCCGATCGGACTCCAGTCCCTTCCAGAACATGGCAGAACTCTCTCGGCTTGGTTCCAGGGCACATGGAGGCTTCTCCAACGTTTGCGGACAAAGGGGTGGCCTTTCCTGTGCTCCAGAGGTTTCCAACCGAGGTCACGTACACGCTGCAGCCCAGTGCCTCCCCCATGCACGTTCAGCAAGGGGCTCAAACGGTGGCCACGTCTCCTCCAAAGTACAGCAGCTACACGTCGTCCGTGCAGTACTCGCAAGCCTACTATCCGACAGGTAGGACGTGTGGAGTGCGCTTGCCTTGCAAGAAAGGATGTTGAAAAGTGATGCTTCATTTCTGTATCCGCAGTGCCTTTTAATATACACGTATTTCAAGTGGGAATTAGTTGGTGTAATGTCCTCTTTTCCACTTAGACTTTATAGCAAAAAGATATTTTTGATTGATATTGATATTCCTTTCCTTTGTGTGAATTTTGAAGACACTGTGTCCTGGGCTGAGGAGGTTAAAGGGTGAGGAAGAAAAGCATTTGCCCAGCGCTAATTGGTGTTAGCCTAACTTTCACTTTTTTTTTTTTTTCTTTTTTACCCATCTCCTTGATTAAGGAACATTGAGGTGGATATGACTAAACCACTGAGAACTGATTGAAATTAAACGTACAAGTCCTTGCTCTCATGTTTGCCCAAGTTGACCTTTTAAGGTCAAATATCAGTTGGGAGACTCCTGTGGAATGTATTTCATTCTGCTTAAAAACCCATGCCGCAATTTTCATTTATTCTTAATATTTTTCTTGCCTTTTTTTTTTTTTTTGGTCTGCTTTGTGCCCAAAAGATGGGAGAGTGACAAAAGTTTTGACTCCTCCTAATTTTGTATAAAAACAATTTACTGAAATTTTCAGTGCCACTTCAGACAAGTGATTCCTCTGCTCCCCAGAAGAAGAGGTATTGAAGCAAGTTACTGTTCTGCTCCACTTTGCCTTGAATTGGAAAAATATTGTAATTTTTTTTTTTCTCCTTGAACTTCTGAAAATAGAACATAGTGGCTCTTCCTTGGAACAAACTTAACCCCAGTTATTATTCTTGTCTTCTGCCTGTTCCTCCCTTGGCAGCTGCACCCTCGCTGACTCAGATGTCCCTGTTTAGAAATCCTAGATGTGGTGGCTGCTGATTTCACTGTGTGCTGCTTGTTGTGGAGAGACTTCACACGTGTTTTGTGCTCATCTAACAGCTCTGCTGAAAATGTTGGGCCATGTTTCAACGACTGGTTGCTACAGTCTCCTTCACATGTGCAACTCCAGAATCCTTCTGAGTTGACAAGTATCTCCTGAGGACTCTCATAAGGGCTTCAGAGGCAGGTGATTCTTGTCACATGCACCTTGCCCTGTGCTGCCTACAGAGACTGCTGAGCTGCAGTCTGGAGCGGAGTATCCTGGTTTGGGTGGGAGATGGTCTCTCCTTCAGTCGTTTCATGGTTTCTATCATTTTACAAAGCCTGGGTTGGAGGTGGTCAGACTGACCTTCAGATGAGCTGAATTTTGTCTGAGCTAGTCCCTTGACTGTGTTCAAGGGAAAGGAATGGGCATCTCTAGAGCGTGATTCATACTGCTTGTTTTAAACACGGTCTTAGGATGAGATGTTCTGGAAGAGCCTTGTTTGCAGCATGAACTATAGAGCAGTTAAGGACTAGCTTAGACTGGATCATAATGTGTAGATCTGTCCAACTGTGTGACTCTAGTCTCTCTCACTGGGATATAAAGGGTGGCAGTAGTAGCCAGCTGTGTTGTTGAACGATCTCTTCCTCTCCTTTACGGCATCTACTTGGAAATAGTATAGGCAAAACCTTCAAATCAAACACCATGAAAGCATATCAAAGGCACAAAAATTAAGGCACAGTTTAATCACAAAAGGGGAAAGTTGTGGATCTGAGGCATTTGGAAGGTCCAATGAATTCATTAGTACTTCTGAGAGGAAAATTTCCCTTTCCCTTCATTTTTAGAATGCCTTGAGCTCTTCCAGTGTTTCAACTTCTGTTTTTGCGTATCTCTCTTAATCTATGCACTATGCTTTTTTTTTTTTTGTATATTCTAAGATACGGAATATAGAAACCTTATTTCATCATAATGTCCACATGAAAAAGTCTAACTGCCTTCATTGTAAGAGCACTTTATATAAAGATTAACTTATTTGAAAAGCGATAGCCAACCATAAGCTCTGTATTTCATAAGTGATCAGACTAAAGTGTGAATGTTCAATCTTACAGTTGGCGTTTTTGGTTTCATTTAATGTTGATAAGGTTTGTGAAGTCCCATTAAATCAAAGTGGAGCTTTATCAAAAGAGTTCTCTTTGTGTATATTTAACTTGTTAACTTCAGTGGCAAAAAGACTTTCTTGGTTTTCATTATGGTTCTCCTTGGAAGGGCAAGAGAACAGAAGGTGCTGATCCAAATTCTTTTTTCACTTGCATTAGAGCATAATTGTTCCAAGGATTTAGTCCTATTTGCTTTCAGCTATCTGCAAAACCTTTATAGTAGTAGGATTGCATCAAAGAAATGTAGTGAAGCTTTCCTGTCACAAGGAATCCTAATAATGAAAAATCAGTCAATGAGACCGTGTCGGAAACATCACTTACTGGTTGCACCTGATGTGGCAGGTCAGATCATGCCTTTTGAAGACATCTGTGGCTGGGGAGTTCATTTAAATGTGATATCATTCACCAGGGAAGTTAGCTTAGGAGTAGTCATTCTAAATGATACATGTTCTCTTATGATAATTGTATTTCTTTGGATGTGAAGCTTAAAATTCACATACATGCCAGTAAGAACTAGATTTTTAAAATAGAGAACCAGCTAAAAAATCTAGTTATTTTTTAACACACCATAAAACAGCACCATATTTTCCCTTGAGAAAAGCAGAGTAGATGTATTAGTAATGCACTTGTAAAACTAGTAGTAGGATTAATCTTGCCTAAGATTCATCTGAATGTATAATAATTCCTTGCATGTGTCTGGGCTTGTCATCTACCTTACACATATAGTCTATAGAGAGAAACAGGTACCTCCCAGTGGTTGAGTCATTCTTGCTTTCTCAGACATAGCCCTTTAGAAGAGAATTTATCCCTTCCTGATGAGCCCTTTTGTTCATTAACTGTGTAGGGTTCCTGCACAGCTTTGGGCACTGTTAACCCAGTTGCCTGTTGAATAATTAGCTTCCTTTAGGCATAACTTCCAGAACTGAAATGAAAGGATGATCTCCAGGTCCTTCCTTGGTGTTTAGCATGTAGCACGTGTGGGAGGTGGGGTGGGAAAAGCTGGTTAGGGCCATTTGTACTTGTTTTGGCACAGAGCTGTCACTAACACTCACCGATGTTCCTTGCAATCTTAAATATGCAGAGAAGCCAATTTCCAATGGATCTTTGGAGAACATGACCATGGTTATCGAGCTTGGTAAAGATCTGCTGTTGATTGTACTCTTTCTGTATAGATTTTGGGTCTTTCAGCTGTCTTTGGCCTGGGTGAAGTGTGGCAGCCCATAAAAAGCCTGGAGGCCAGTCTGTAATTGTATATGTTGAGCTGTAAGCACAGTGCTTTTTTGATGTTCTTAGACTGTGTTTACATCTGAGTTCTAACTTCTCGGTACATATGGCAAGATATGTCTTTGCTGAGACTGTGACTGATGCCGAGAATGTCTGGCCATGTCCGTGCTAGTGCTAGTTTATTAAACTTTGCTAGGGCGAGTTTCTGCCTATGAGATCTTGGTCGTCTATAGCATTAGATTGTCGTCGTGGTTGCCACTATCCCCTAAAAGTGCTGTGCTTGGTTCAGGGGTTGGCATAGGCTGGGCACCTGGAGAGCGGATCTGAATCTTAGTTTATTGGTACAGCTGTATCCTCAATGCTTTCGACGAAGATTGTTGCTGATTTGCCCTGCTCTCCATGGCCTGTCTCTGCACAGGGAGCAGGCAAAATAATACGATGTCCCTCCTCCCGAGGCAACACGAGGAGTTTCACTTTGTCACAATGGTTTCGAGTTTGCTTAACAATGACTCACAATTTGCATAGGATATCTTAAATGCAGTTTCTCTGCAATCTGCTTTTGTAATCTTGGACAAAAAATTGATGAGATTTGATACTTTGTGTGTGCATGGCCTGCAACTGTAATGAAATAAATACTTGTACTGGGATCCCTTGTTGCCTCTTAGAGCCTCAGTTGTTTATCTTCCAGAGCTGGATATTACATCATTCCTCTGCTTTTAGTACTTCTAATGACCAGGTTGATTCAGTACGTTCTGCAAATATCTTGTCAATATTGTTAACTCCTGAAAGCAAATCAGTTTCATCAATATTATTGATAGCCAACTCCAGAATGGTTTTAGTGTTACTGGTGTTATGTGATCCCTCCAGCTAAATTTCCCTTGTTTATTTGCATATAACTCATTTAATTTTGCTAGTGTCAAGAAAATAGGGCTTAATGAACACTTGAGTATTTCCCTAATGAACAGTTCTCATCTTTGAAGATAAGACTGTTAGCCTCAATCAACCCCAAACCATAGAGGTCATCATTCCCTCTGACAGTAATGCTCAAAGAAGAGTACAAGAGTAGGACAAGTGTGGGCTGATGCTTTTCCAAAATGTTCTTACAGTTTTGACTTGGAGAGTTAATTAGCCATTGAGGGAGAGTTTATTATTATTATTATTTACTAGTTCTCAGTGGATTTCACTTCCATGAACTTGTCTGTTTTCCCCAATCAGTGTAGACGTGTTGCATATACAGCATTTGCTTCTACACTGAAGAGTCCTCGTCAACTTGTTGACAGGGGCCTCGTCCCTGTTTCTTCAAGGGAATATTCTATACCTTTGATCATCCATGTTGCCCTTCCTGTGACCTTTTAACAATTCTGTTATATTCCTCTGGGCTGTAGAGTGGTAGTCATGGTGTGGGGGAACCTCTGTCATTCTGCATTCCCTTTCTACTACTTCCTAATAATCGCTTTGCTTTGCTTCTGATTCTGGGGAGGGACCTTCTGATAGCTGCCAATGTCTTCTGGAACTATTTACTTTAATACAAAGATCTAGTTCCTGATTATCCAGTTACGTATCTGTCCATATGTTTATTGCCCCCTTCCCTTACCATCAGATATTGGTTATCCAGTGTTCAGTAATTCTGTATTTTATTATACATTGTTCTGTTTGTCTTGTTTAGCTGCCAGGATTTCTAACTTCTAAATGTTTTTGTTAACATGCTTCTCTATAAGTTCCTTTTAGTTTTGCAACTGCTTTGGAAATCCCAGTGTATTATCAGTGCGTTTGAAATATGATCACATGTAGGATCTTCAGTCCTTTCCTCGTTCTGTGCGCTGTGCTGTTCATTGCCTATTTGTAAGTGGTCGTTTCTGGTTCAGTTACAGTCCAGCTGAAGCAATTCCATTTTCATAAAGCAATATTCATTTTCCATATATTTTGTCCTAAAGAGTATAAGAAAATGCCCATCCATAGTTTGTATGAATAGAAGTCTTTTTTTTTTTTTTTTTTTGGGCAGAAAGCAGTTCTCAGTTATACTTGCTTGATGAAAAGGTCTGTATTTTTTATAACTTAGTTAACAAATATTTACTTATTCCAGAAGATACCATTCATCCCTCTCTGCTCAGGATTCCAGTAAGTATTAATACTTGCTGTTAGTTACTTCATAACAGCTGATGGCATAATTTGTTTTAGCTGATTATTTTCTCCTCTGTCTCACTACATTAACTATATTATGGATAAAAGAGATCAGAAGTTTCTTCTGTACAATTAATGTTGTAGGATGAAAGCATGTGATTGAAGCCAGTATCTTTATTGAATCTTGATTCAGTTTGAAGACTTGAGGTATTCAGAACGAGTTGGTGCCTTCTTTGGTACCACCACCCATCAGCAGACATGGTCTGCACAAATGGTTTGAGCATCTTGTGCCTCTGATGTGGCCATTCTTGGGGCTTTCTTCAGTGCTACATTATTCAAAAGTTGTCTGGATATAGATGGAGTGTCCTTTTGTGACTATGGCTGATGTTGTAGTACTTCTCTAAAACTGGCCTCCATCTTATGGTGAATTTGCTTCTTAACTGACCCTTTCTGTTCCTGTTCCTTGTGATACTTCCAAAAATGTGACTGTTCTTGTTGTTAGATCAGTCTTTGCTAAAGCCCGTGTTGACCAAAAAAAAGCCCATTCTTGTGAATGCAAACATTCTGTTTATGCAACATTCTCCATTTCCTAAACATTCAGAATTTGTCTTCAGTTTTTGTTCTGCACTATTACTTTTGTTCTCCTCATCTTGGTTTACAAACATAATGATCTACTTGATTAATGAGTTGCTGTTGTCACAAGCTCTGCTCACTGGGGCAAGAGTTCTGCCTTTTATCTTTTCCTTGTAGTCCTTGTAGCATTTTGTGCTTATAGTTTGCATGTGATGCTTTACACTTATCTGATGTTTCATAAGCACTTCTTCCCTTCAGGTTCTTGCTTTTTTTTTCATCAGAAATATTTTTTTCCTAGTAGGATCTTTTTTTCCCTTAGTCACTGTAATGGGGTCAAAAAAGTCTCCTTTGTAGGTCATTGTTCTCTTGCCTTGTTTTTGCAATGGCCCCTCCAAACATTTTCTTAATTGTATGTGTGTTTTTGTTCCCCCCCACCTTGGTTTTGTAAACACTCTGTGGAGTATCCAGCGGGTGAAATATTACTTAGTCCATATATCATTTGAGCTTTTAGCAATATCCAGAGTAGGAGTATGTTCCCATGTCATAGAAAAATCTCCTGACACCCAGATTTCATCATGAAGTAGCAAATTGGCTTTTGAAGTTACATAAATCTTACACTTATCGTAATTCTTTAGAAGGATGTCCACTAGTTTTTTCTTCCGTGTTTAGCTCCCATGTTTATCACTCCCAACTGCACAAGAAGTCTGCAACATGATATATATATATATATATATATATAGTATCTAATCCTTCTTTGCGTATGGTTGCAGTAGCAGCTCTCTCCTGGGAAACCCGTTGCAGATGGCAAACTTTGTAAATAAATTTCTGATCTATGTTTGCCACTTGGTTATGCTTAGTACTCTCTGGATTGAGATACCCTTCCTTTGTGAACACTAGATTAACTATGATTTTGCAAGGAATAATCCCTCTCTTAGATTGAAGACCATTTTAAAGATGGTCTGTATTGCAAATAAAGCCTTTACCTTAAGTTAAATATCTTTTCACCAAAAATAATATGTGCAGAACACTGCCTCATCTGCAAAGCTGCATTTCAAAATAAGATCACTCTTTAATTGCAATGTGTGCATATGAATTTCTGAATTCTTTCCAAGTGAATCAGCTTCCTGTGTTATGTTCTGATGAAAAAGGCAGCATTTTAAGGTTGTCTTCCAGCAAAGCTGGTTCAAGAAGGTGATACACAAGAAGGGTTACGATTATGAAGTTTCTAAGTGTGTGCATATCTACTTTAGAATAAGTGTATATATTGGAATAAATATTTTTAAACTGTTTCATTTGGGAGGTAATAATACATTTCTGGAATTTAATTTTCAATATGATTATTAAAATGTTCAGTCAAATAAAGCAGTAGAAATGTGTTACACCAAAGGCAGGTTTTGGAAGTCTGATACATGTGTTTGGATTCTTTCTAGCTGTACTGCAGTGTTGTTCACCAACCACCCACATAGATCCTCTGTCTGGCTGTGCTACTCCTACAGCCTCAGCCTACACCCACTGCAACTTTTTCCAGGTGAGTGTAACCTATGGAATCCAGGTGAGAGCAGAGGGAACTCCATGAGCAAAGGCTTTGTGAACTGCTGGGGTGAAGGATATCCCTTTTAAAGCTGAGGAACTTGAGTAAGTTAAAAGCGAGGTGCTTACAATATCTGTTTCCAAGAACCACAAAGTATGAAATAAGTAGCTTTGTGATTTTTAATTCTCATCTTAACGTCATACTGGATGTCCTCGTCAGTGGATTATTGAAATTGGAGTGTTGACTTCACCAGGAATTGGTATTAGTGAATAAGTTTAATGTTGAAAAGTTTCCTTATCTGGGCAAAATGAGTTGTTTTGATATAGTAAAATATTGGGAAACAGCTCTGCTTCTTGTCCCAGGCAACTTTCTGCAGTCCTGAGGCTCATCTGATGAATGAGAAAAACGTTTCTATTTTTCTCATCCAAAAAGTGACTTTTGGAGTTGGTCCCACCTCAGAGGTGTCATACGAAAACAGCTAGAGTACTTATTGAAAATGCTTTATATAACTTCAGTGGAAATGTAACTGATTTGGAGGGTCTAGTTTATCAAATACTGAAAACTGAAGTAGAATTGCAAGAGCTTCCTTTGGCATTACAATGTAATTCATATACATTCCTCCTCGTAGAGGACTAGCAAAGCAAGTTATACTTGTGTGTTGAAAAAGGGTTGACTTGCCCAACCTTGATTACCCAGTTCGCTGTCTTACAAATATCAACCTTTGTCTCTTACTCAAGATCTTTTATATAGGTTTATTCGGGATGGCCAAGTTGTGGTCAGGATAATTTACTGATAGAAGGATATAAATAGTCACTATCCAGCCATCCACTGGATCCTGTACTATGTAGATTCTTTATCCTCTCACTTCAATCATGAGATTGTGTAAATTATTACCAATAAAAAATGTGGGCATGTGAGCCCAGAGGGAGACTTTGGGAAGTCAAGTAATTTCTTATCTCAGAAGGCTCTAGATTGATGATTGGGATGGCAAATCATTCAAATGGAGTAACCAGGGATGTTTTCAGGGCTAGACTGACAGCAATGGTGCTAAAGTGAGATAATTCATATACTCTGTCCAAAGTGTCTAGTAAAAATAAATAGTTTGGAGAAGTAAGTCTGTGGGCAGTGTGTGGAATCAAAGATGATTCAGATCACTTTACCTACCAGTGCATAAGCAGATAATAAAGCTCTAACAAGGGAATTTCAGTCCGAAACTGTTGGTGGGCCTTGACACGAGGCCGCTAGGAGATCTCTGTGTGAGCAGCTCTAAGGTAAGCAGGGTTGTCTACCAGGTTGACCAGAGGAGTAACTGGATGTCTCTGAGCAGAGTGAGGCAAATACCCAGAATGGCTCAACAAGACTTCTCAAGAATCTTCAGTCTCTTGGTAGAGAGATTGTGTCTCCTGGGGCTTGGTGGCAGGACAGTACAGAAGCCAGCAGGTTGTCTGAAGATGGACCGAGCTGTGAAGAAGAGTCAACTTACCTTTTGTGGGCTCTAGTGCAGGTGCTTCCCCAGACCTTCGCTGAGGGATGTGGCCGGCTACAGCACAGACCGTCCTCTCCTACCGTGGTGTTGATCATCAGCCACGACACACACAAGTCCTGAACAGCAGTAATACCAGTGGAGGACATCAACTCAGGATGAATAATCGCATTCATATGTGATTCTTCATATTCTGAAGAACAGAACTTGCATGTTGCTTTGTTCCATTCATATCTTCCACCAGTTACTGCAATTCAATACAAAATTAGAAAGGAGCAGTGTTCCTAAAGGATGACTTGAAGGGTGTTTTTAGGGTGTTTTATCCCACTGTACCCTGTTAGATGGCACTAGCATCATCTGTACAGAACTGCCAAAGCTGCTGGGCTTGTAGGACCCACCTTAGCTGCCAGGGCTGTTAGGTGCTTCTGAATTGGGGCATGGGCAGACAAGGCCAGTAACAAACGTCTGTTCGTGTTTGCCCAGACTGGCTTCCCAGGACAAGCTACGGAGAACTACAACACCAGACTGCAAGGGAATATGGATGGTGATACACACACAGCAAGTGATTGGAGTTCCCCACTGCTGGGCTTTCTAAACCAGTCTTCATTTTCCATCTTTAGAGGGAAATAACAGTCTTTGGAGAGGAAAGTCTGTCTTTCTCCCACACCAGCTGTTTGGGCAAATCACAACTCCTGGCACTCTAGCAGGAGAGTGTTTCACTGCTCCTTTATCATAGCTGTGAACCCAGGCCACATATTGGTATTTTATTTATTATTAACAGATTTGCAATTTCGTTGTTGCTGCTAGTGTTTTCTTAACTGCCAGTATTTTCCCACAGAAATGAAGAAGTAACTGCCAGTAGAAAAAATAAATGTGAGTGAAGAAAAGACAGGCAACTTCCCTGACTTTAAAAGCAGTCTTAGATTTTTTTGCTTTTATTTGTAATGATACTCAGCCGTATTATTTTAAAATGAAATGGACGTTGGACAACTGCTGAGTAATTGCCCAAGCTCGAGAGGCGGATGGGCCTCTACAGAGATTGCTAGGATTAAATGTATTTGTGCTTACCCTTCCTTTGCACCCTTTGTATGTCTTATAAAGACTGAAGTGCCCATCTTCTCTTTCACTTAACTGTAACATTTTTTTTCTCCTGAGCTCAGTAAAGCAGCAACTTAATCTTTTGATTCCTAATTTCCCAGTCTTTACCATTTTTCTTTTTGTTTCATTGCTGCCTTCCCCCCTAGCCTTATTTGTCTCATCTTCTCAAGAAAATTTGAAAATATTTGTGTCTTTACATGGATACTTACCCCCACTGGAAAGGCAGGCCAGATCCAAGATGATATTCTCAAGCACTATTGCAACAGCTTCAACCTGAGCTATGCAAGGGAAGAGTAGGGAAAGGTGCTTTTAAGAAATATCTATTATTTATTTATTTATTAATCTGTCAGGTATTATCTCATCCTTGGATAGTTGACTTATTAATCCTGATCTTAGTTAAAGTCATAGCAATGTAAGATAGTAAATAATGCAACAAAAGTGAAACATGTTTTTTAATATTTAAAAAAGCATAATTTGGAGAAAAAAACAGGGGGAAATAGAATCTGTATCCTAAAAGATATTAAGATGTATTGCCTTTAGTAAGAGATTTTTGCCTGACCTAACCTAAGCTTTTGCAATTCGAGTTTTCTCTTTTTGTTCTTTTTTTTTCTTCCTTTAAAAATCTATGATTATCTGCAGACAGCAAAAGAAGGAATCTCAATATCCTCTCCCCTCTGAATGATGTTTCCCTCAGAGACTGCTGCTGAGAGACTAAATCCTTCAATGGCATTTGACCTGATCAGACTTTCCTAGTAGGTGGTCCTGTGGCTTCCTGTCCTCTAATTTATTCATATGTGGAAATGGCTTTTTTTATTAGCAATTACCTAGCTAGGAGGTCTGGGCACAATCAGACATTAGTGACTAAATCATAACACTAGCTCTTTTTTAAAAATAAGAAGGTATTTCAGACACATTTGAGTTCAATGTCATTATATGACTTCTGTTTCTCAGAAGAAATGACCCTTCCAGTGTCTTTTAAATATGACTCATCTCTAGGCCCGTGCTGCTAAAATGTGATTTAACATTTCATTTAGGTAGGATTTTACTGCTTTTGGAAGAGTCTTCATTGTTTTCTTTCTGCTTTGAAGGATCTCTGATTTTATAACTTCTACTGAAAAAAAAAATCAGATTGCTGATTGTATCCTGACATGTTATGGTATTTTTAAAACAAAATATTTTATAGTGTTTGGATCTAGCCTTTGAGGGCAAAGGCAGCCTCTCCAGATTCCTTAAGAGGTGCTTCTGGCCTGAAGATCTATGAGGCTTTAGCATCAATCTGCATAGACTTCTAGTCAAACATTTGTTGAACGCTCTGAGCACTGATTTGGTGGAAGTATCCAGGTGGGAGACCATGACAGATGGGGCAGTACTACAGTATTTGTTTTTGTAGGCATCTGAACATTCATTCTGGGCCTGGAGCATCCCTGGGAATCAATGTATGGGAATCACTTGAAGAACAAAAGCAGGTGGTATTGGTAAGTAACTGGGTGTTTCTCGAGTCCTGTTATCCATATGCATGTTTACGGAGTACGTGCCTTTTTTCTCTTGCTCAAAACCTTTATATTTTATGTTTTGCATTATATTTTAACAGGAATGCTGGAGTTTTAGAAGATTTGAAGGCAGGTGCTCTATCATTTTCTATCACTTCTGTGGCATGTGAAGGGTTTGGGTCTTGTGCACCCCCCACATTCTACTGGGGCTGAAGTCTCTGCTTTGAGTGTTTGGGTGTATGTGCACGTGCAGTGGGAAGGGCACGCGGATGCGCATCTGAAAGAGTACCTAGCCACTCATAACTGAGCTTTCTTTCTCTCCAGGAAAGACAATGAGTAGAAGAAAGGAGGCTTGCAAGGAGTAACGTGGTTGAGGAAGAGCAAGGCAAAGGGGAAGCAGCCTGTTTTTATTAGACCTGTTGACTTAGCTGAAAATAACAAACTGTTGAATACATGACACTTGAGTTGGTGGCCCAGGTTCACTGACAGGGTCTTCACACGCTGTCATTATAACATTTTCATATTAAAGTTCCCCGTGTTTTCTTTCTCCAGAATCCTCCAATGCAGTCATCTTACACAGTTGAATTTCTGCCCTCTAACTGGCCGTGTAGCACATCTGATGAAAACAAGAAGTCTGAAGTAAATCTTGAAGCTGTGTTCCAGATTGTTGATGAAATGCATTCATCACCCAAAGTGGAAATGGTAAAGGTGGAGCCTGTGGAGAACCAGTGCTCAACCCCTCAGTCTAGCAAAGGCCAACAGCTGCTCATTAATGCTGAGAACACTGAGACACCTTCGTCAACCGAGGCTAGTCGCCTGGAGCCTCTTACACCTGTAGGTTCAGACATTACATCGTTCGTGATAGGAACAGATTCTCTGTCACAGCCTTCTGATTTTCTTTATGCTCTCCATACCCCTGAGTCTGTAGAAAGTGCTTCTGCTCAGATAGTGCAAGAGCCTGTGACCGCACAGGAAGCACATGGAAAACTGAAAGAGCAGCTGGACCATTCCCCAAGTCAGTCCTCAATGATCTTTGTTCAGGAAGAGCAGCCATGCAGTGCACAGCAGGTAAGGGTTAACAGGGCGCCCTGAACGAGAACAGCACTAGATATTTTTTGAGTTAATACAGTCCATAGACCTGCTAGCGCCTGGACTGATAACTTTTTAAGAGTGAGCTTTTAATGGACAGTGAGTGAAGGGTTTGTTTGGGAAAGTGAGGCAAAGGGAGAATAAAAAGGAAAAGTACCCCACTTTAGTGAGCATATAAGCCTGTAAGGGCCAGGTTATACCATGTTTTTAGGTGCTGAAGCAGAAACTTTCTTAGATTTATAGCATGCTGTCTTTACTGTGCATTAAAAAAGAGTGTTTTGAGAATTGCCACTAAAGGCAAAGGTTTTTGTTCACCGTTTAGGTGGTCGGGTTGCTACTGACTAAACAAGTGTTTATTTTCCATGGAAGGCCTAAGTTGTCTAAGATTTTAATGCTGTAAAGCATTTTCATTTGTACTTTGGGGGTCTGACAGGTTGTAATTATAGTTTGCTTTTTTCTGTACTCCAGTCTACTCTAAAGACAAAAGTGTAAATCTCGTGCGTGGTTAGGATCTGTAATAGAACTTGTTTTAATGTTGTGTTTATTTGGATAACTTTGCATTTTTGTATTTTCAATGCTAATGCTGCTTTTTTGATGGCTAATCAGAAACTCCTTGTTTCAGATAAAGGCCCCCTCTCACCTCTGGCCAATCCCTGTAATGATGGGCGTTCTAACTGTTACTTTGTTAAGGTAGCAGATGCATGCTCTATTTTTCTTTATTTTGAAAATCAAAAGCAATCACAGATTTCACTACATGATTGAGGAAATAGACGAGTTCAATAAATGGTTGCCTGCAACATACATATGGAACAGCAGCAGAGGGCTCCAAAAAGCAAGGAACAACATAAAAATTGAATGTCTTTAACAGTGGGATGAATGAGATCTCCCACCAGAGATGTGCAGCTTGCATTCATGGTTTTATTGCTATGATACAGCTGTATTACACAGCTCTATCAAGTCATTCCCTAAGTGTTACTTACTCATACAGGTGTTGGTACCCGTGAATGCAGCTGGAATTTTTGTACTGAAATTCTCTTAGCTACTTTCGTGACCAAGGAAAAGGTTCAGGCTGTGAGGGTATGTGTCTTAGCTCTGTGTATCCTGATTTTCTTACTTCATATTTTACTTAATATGATGTTTTGTAAGGGCTTGAGTTACAATTTGGCAACCTTAGTTCTGAGTTGAAAACACTTATGAAATTGGACAAACTATTACATAAATCATCTAGGCAGTGTTCAACATTTGTTAATGTCCTTTGGAATGGAGAAAACCAGTTGTTATTTAGTTTTCTAAATTGATAACAAGAAACTTTTGAGTAGTCTTTGTTCTTCTTCTTTTTTTTTTTCTTAAGATGGATCCTAGTGTTAAGTGTCTACCCAGTCTGGCAGACACAGGGGTGTCTTCAGAACAGATAGGGATCTGCACATCAGGAGCTGGACCCGTGAACAAATCCGTAAAAGAAACAGTTCCCACTGCACAAACTAGAGGCAGGGAGAGAAGAAGCAATTCACAGAAGGGCAAGTCACCCGGTGAGAAAATATTCTAAGTTTTTCTAGAGTTTACCCAGACAGGTTGCATGGAAGAGGATCCATACAGAAAGGGGGAGCAAGGACAGTTTAATTTTCATTGTCTGCAGTGTTGTCCGCAGTGTAAGTATCTTAGTATCCTTTAGTTAAAATACTATACTCGTGCAGCTTATTAGTGTGCTTACAGCTAGGCCTGTATAGAAATGCTTACACTTAACACTATTATGTGGAAAAGGGAATAAATTATATGAGTAAATAAAATCTGAAATTTTGGGGTGGTTACAATATTGAGATGAAGTCCATAGATATGTGTGCTGAAGTGCGACAGTGCTGTGAAGGAAGGATTGAGTAATGAGGTGATTGTTTGAAGCCACAAAAACAGGAGCACTGGTTTGATGAAAGGGGTATTCAAGACCAAACTTTGTCACAGCTGATTAAGTAAGTTTGGTACCAGACCGGCAATACATATACTGAAATACATGAGAAAAACAAGTAGCAGGACATCTAAAGCTGAACACTTCACAAAATCCAAGGGTCTACAGATAGAGAAACATCACCAGATACAGAGACTTCTTTGGATTCATTGTAGAAGAAGAAGAAGTGTGGCCTGCAAGTCTTGTAAAAAGCTAATTTCCTCACTACTGATAATCAAAGAGTTATCATCAGAAGCCTGAATATAAAGCTTGAAGAGTTGCTGCTACCTTCAGAGGGGAGGGTATCTATTCCAGTTAACACAAGCTGGCTTCTTAATTATCATTATGCCCAGCAGTTTCTAACATTTGAATAAGGAGTAAGATCTTTCCATCAGCAAGCTGAGAGGGGTTGGGTGCCATGCCGAAACATGACAGGCTCTTACTGAAGTCACAGAATTGAGAATTCTG